TGGACTACCCACTTGTTCTAATCAGGCTCCACCATGCAGATTTTCAGCCTCGATTACTCCTCCAAGAGCTCTTCCTATAAATATTAAACTCAAGCCACATTCAAAGGGTTCAAACACCAAACCAAAAGCCTCCCACAGAGCAAATTATATTTTCCTGTAATGCACTTTCAATATCTTTACTTGCTTTCCTAGGAGTAGTGTTAGGTTGTAAGGAAAATCCATTCATCAATATATATCATACGACCCTTGATTTTCAAGGCGCCGGAGCACCATCTCTGTTACTCTTTCATTCATCCCATATATCATATGAACGTCGCTCCCTGAGCAACGCGCCGGAGTAACGCCCAAAATCCACTATCAACACCACCACTAAACGGCCTTGTAGCTCAAGCCGTGAACCTGACGGCCGAAATCAGTTCCTCTCTCGGCCACAATCGTTTGATTAGGAGTCGGACTCAAACAAGCACACCACTTAACCACTTCACCCATATCACCATCTTGACGCACGGTAGACCGTGCTGGCATGCCTGCGCACAACCGCACCGCATCCAAAAGAAGGAAGCCACGTGTTAACGCATATCCCCTCAGCCCGGAGCTCCAGGCCGTGAGATTTGCGCAGCCAACAGAGGGACAGGGGTGGGTGGGTTTGTTTTAATTTGTTGTAAATTTTATATTATTTTATTGTTTTATATATTTGATTTTAAAGTTTTTAAATAATTTAAGAAATCAAGATTTTTTTAAATTAGTTTTTTAGCCCACGTGGCATCCACATAAAAATAAAAACTTGATATATATTTGACACGTAAGCATTTAACGGAAAAACAGAGAGATTCATTAATGGAGGATGTATTTTGAAAGGTTCCATAAAGTTTGGGTATTGGTCAAACGGGTCTTTAAAAGTTGGGATGAGTTTGTAATGAACTCCATAGTTTGCGGGGTTTATTGTAGTTGATCCAAAAAATAAAAATAAAAACTAAATCAAGAAAGAAAATATGATATATGTATTCTAATGAAAAATTTAAAAAAAAAAACCCAACAAAGACAATGTTATGTTAGTATTAGTACAACCCAAATTAACCCACATAATAGAAACAATATGGAATGCACCAATTCTCTACTTGGTATGTACAAGAAGAAGAATATGGATATATTAACGTAGCAAAAGATAGATGAAGAAAAGAAGAAGACGGAGAACGCCAAGAAGGAGGAATAAGAAATGAAGAATGAAGAACAAGAAAGAAGATGATGGATAGAGACCAAGACAGAAAAACGTGCAATGGTTAATAAGCTAAATTCAAGGAGAAGTTGTATCTTCAAAATAATAAATAGTAAATTGAGCTTAGACCCATAAAATCATTTGTAATCACTTACAACCCTTTCTTTTATTTTTCTATTTAAAATACCCAATTTTTTCAAATAAAATCCGATGACTATGATCCAAGTAAGCAAGTTACCTAATCTAGCTTAAAATCTAATTTATTCTATTTTTTTAAATTCCAAAACTACCCCTATTTACAAGTTAACGTGTTATGTGAGGTGTACCTAATGGCACACGTTGAATTTGGAAAGATCTTCAAATGGTTGTAATGGATGTAAGAATTAATTTAGAAACTCATTTGAAATTAAATATTAAATTCAACATTAAAGTATTAGTAACATTTTGGTTTGTTTTATGACAAAAAAAAAAAAAGTTTTGGTTTATTTAATAATTTTTTTGTTGTTGTTTTCCTTTTATGAATTATACTACTAGACTAGTAATCTATTTTATTATTATTTTATGAATAATAGTGTACATTCTAATTATGTTGAAAAATATTTTGATAATCTATTTATTGTTCGTTTTATGGAAAACATTTTTTTAAATGAATCTATTTTTTCTCTAAATAATGTACCTATTTTTTTCTCAAAATAATGTACCCTTTTTTCTCTGAATAAAGTACCTATTATTTGTTTTATGAAAAACAATTTTTTTAAATGAACCTATTTTCTCTCTTCAAATAATGTACCTATTTTTTTCCTCTAATAATGTACCTAGTAAAACAATGTACGTATTTTTTTTAAATGAAACTATTTTTCCTCTCCAAATAATGTACCTATACACATTTATAGGTATATTGTAAAATAATTTACCTATGGGTAAATAATGTACCTATATTATGGGTAAATAATGTACCTATATTTTCTATAAATTATTGTGTACCTATTTTTAATTTATGAAAAATCTACGGAAATTTCAATTACAATGTAACTGACTTAGTTTTTTTTATAATTTTTTTTGGTAAATAATATACCTATATTTTATTTAAATGATATATTTATATTTATATTTTTCATAGGTATATTATTGGATATGTAATTTATAGATATTTTGTTTGGTTTGCAATTTTAGGGGGCGGTATGTGAGAGGGAATGACAACCAAAAGAAATGGGGTGATTGATATGCTATTAATAGGGAGTGTTAATTACAATTATGACAGTTAATGAAATGCTTGAAATAAATTATAAATAAAATATGAAGTTTGGTGGCAACGATGTAAAAACATAGGAAAATTACGACCTCTTATATCCTACTGGTCATTTAAATTTGAAATTGGGTTTTACACATAGATTTATAGAGTGATGGGTATATATATCTAGGAAATAGAAAATATAGGGATTTATATTGGACAAACCCAATAATAAATTATCCTATGGGGTTTATGTACATAGTCAACCAGTTGCTCAATATTGTATAAATGGAAATTATGGGGAAATTTTAGGCTATATTATTTAAAGGGGAAAATAAATTGGAATATGAAAATGGGCAGCGTTGTTGTGCTTTATGATATATTAAAAGTCTCAAAAGTCTCAAAAGTCTGCTGAATGGAAAAGGACCACAGTGAAGAAGCCTTCTGCCTGAATCATCATCATCATCAAATTGTCTTTAATCTTTCTTTATTTTTATTGACAGATCATTATTTGTCTTTATTCGATAGCCCAATTAATCGGTTACCAAGTTACACACAGTTGGTCGATACCCTCCTCATATGAATTTCTGTTAATTTTAGTTAAGGGTTGCATTGCATGTATTAATTAGTTTCAAGAGTTGGTCCTTAGTTCAGGCTAAATACTTTACTTGTCCAATTTATTAGGGGACCACAAAATTAGAAAATTATAAGTTGGAGCAACTTGGGAAGGATAAAGATCAAAGATGGGCAGCAGTTGCCGGAAGAGATTCAATGCCCAGCTTCAACAATATCCATGACCATGACTGAATCTGACACTCAAGGAAGGAAACAAAGCGGGGGAAAAAGACGAGAAACTTTGTTTCCTCTAATCAAAAGTATGGTATTTTCTGGTGCAATACAGGCTCCAGATCCTCGATCGCATTTAATACTTTGACCCAAAAATAAAAAGAGAGATATCCTTGCAGTTATACTTGACCAAACTCCTAGTGGTGTTGGGTACGTTACACATTCTCTACTTGACCAAAAATAAAAGAGTTTTCAAGCAATAATAAATATAGTAAATTGAGCTTAGACCCATAACATTCATTTGTAATCACTTACAACCCTTTTCTTTATTTTTCTATTTAAAATACCCAATTTTTTCAAGTAAAACCCGCTTACTAGGATCCAAGTAAGTAAGTTACCTAATCTAGCTTAAAATATGATTTATTCTATTTTTCGAATTCCAAAACTACCCGTATTTACAAGTTAATGTGTTATGTGGAGGTGTACCTACACGTTGGATTTGGAAAGATCTTCAAATTGTTGTAATGGATGTAGGAATTAATTTAGAAACTTATTTGAAATTAAATATTAAATTCAACATTAACATATTAATAACGTTTTGGTTTATTTTATGACAAAAAAAAATGTTTTGGTTTATTTAATAAATTTTTGTTGTTTATTATTTGTTTTATGAAATTTTATTTTTTTGAATGAACCTATTTTCTCTCTCCAAATAATGTACCTATTTTTTTGTAATCACTTAATATACCTAGTAAAACAATGTACGTATTTTTTTAAATGAACCTATTTTTCCTCTCCAAATAATGTACCTATACACATTTATAGGTATATTGTAAAATAATTTACCTATGGGTAAATAATGTACCTATATTTTCTATAAATTATTGTGTACCTATTTTTAATTTATGAAAAATGTACGGAAATTTCAATTACAAAGTAACTAACTTAGTCTTTTTTTAAAAAAAAAATTTTGGTAAATAATATACCTATATTTTATTTAAATAATATATTTATATTTATATTTTTTATAGGTACATTATTGGATATGTAATTTACAAATATTTTTTTTGGTTTGCAATTTTAGGGGGCGGTATGTGAGAGGGAATGACAACCAAAAGAAATGGGGTGATTGATATGCTATTAATAGGGAGTGCTAATTACAATTATGACAATTAATGAAATGCTTGAAATAAATTATAAATAAAATATGAAGTTTGGTGGCAACGATGTAAAAATATAGGAATACTACGACCTCTTATATCCTACTGGTCATTTAAATTTGAAATTGGGTTTTACACATAGATTTATAGAGTGATGGGTATATGTCTAGGAAATAGAAAATGTAGGGATTTATATTGGACAAGCCCTAATAAATAATAGCTTCAGTTGTACATACAATCCCTATATCCATAATCATACGTATATTGAAATAAATAGAACTTTTAATCCTTGTAATCAAGAGTACTCTCTCTAATCCTAGTTCCCGGTAAAACAAAGCAAATTAACATGTGGCATCATATAATTGGACTCTTGATTAATTTTTGACATGGTCAGGCAGCTTGACTAAGACTTTCTCTAATAATAGGTGCGTGGGTAAAGGGGCGGAGAAACTTTGAGTGGGAAATAAACTCTATGATTCTTTGGGTCCGGCTGCATATTAAACAAATAAGCTGGGATAATTGACAGGGTGTATGCACATGGACCCGCAACCTGCTTATAAATAGAATGGACATGGTGTAGTTGAAGGCCAAGAATAAATCTATTTTTTCCCTTGAGTTGACTCGAGCTATATACAGCAGCTGTGCAGATCGATCTATACATCTATCTTCTTCTTCCTTTTTCTCTTGAATTGAATCAGATAGAAATTCACAATGTCAAAGGCAATTCCTGAGGTAATACTGAGCTGCGGTAACGACATTCTAGCCATGCCAGTGATTGGCATGGGAACTGCATACCCTGCGGCGGATCCAGAAACAGACAAGGCTGCGGTTCTTGAAGCCATTAAAGCCGGCTACCGCCACTTTGACACCGCCTTAGTTTACGGGTCGGAGAAATATCTAGGTCAAGCCATATCCGATGCTGTGCGTCTTGGACTCATCAAGTCCAGGAGTGAGGTGTTCATCACCACCAAGCTTTTTGCCAGCTTTGCTGAGAAGGATCTTGTGGTGCCTGCCCTCAACATGAGTTTAAGGTAACTATTATTGATGTTATATATATATATATGACAAATTATTTAAGGGTTTCTTATATATATAATTATATCAGCAACTAATTATTTGCCTATTAATATTAATTAATTACTATATATATATAGGAATCTGCAATTGGAGTATGTGGATATGTACATAATTCATTGGCCCTTCAAATTTGGGGGAGAGGTGAAGAGTATGCCTGTTGCAAAAGAGATGGTGCTACCTCTAGATTTGAAGTCAGTTTGGGGAGGCATGGAAGAGTGCAAGAGACTTGGCCTTGCCAGGGGCATTGGCGTCAGTAATTTCACTTGCAACATGCTTCAGGACCTCCTTTCCATCGCCAAAATACCTCCCGTCCTCAACCAAGTATGTATATATATATATATATATCATTATATCATTATATCCTTTCTCATTTTATTATGTACTTACGAACATGAATAATACTAATTATATATATATATACTCTTATTAAATTTTGGTTGAATTATTTATAGTTGGAGATGAGCCCAGCTTGGCAGACAAAGAAACTGAATGACTTCTGTAAGGCAAAGGGTATCCATATTACAGCTTACTCTCCCCTGGGCGGAGCTAACAGTCGAGTAGGAGATGACAGGGTTTTATGCTCAAACATCCTCGAAGACGTTGCCAAAGCCAAAGGCAAAACAACTGCTCAGGTATCGTTGAGGTGGGTTTATGAGCAAGGGGTGAGCATGGTAACAAAAAGCAACAACAAGGAAAGGATGAAGCAGAACGCTGACATATTCGATTGGTCGTTGAGCGACGAGGAATTGGAAAAGATTAGTAATTTTCCTCAGCGGAAAGCCGTCACCTTTGCCTCAATTATTGGGCCGCATGATCTAATTGTCGAGATTGACGCCCAACTATAACCCCGTTCTTCGGAGGGGAGGAAATCGAATTAAAGTTAAATAAAGAGTAGAGTACTCTAAATAAATAAAAGGAAGCACCAACACCAAATGCGTTGACATGTTCTCTCTTGTTACTTGTTCGGGCGGCGTATATGATGTGCTGCTAGTTAATGTCTCATTTAACACGTCTGGGCGCCGGTGAAGAAAATTTATATAGAATAGGAATATTATTTTTTTATTCAGGTCTTGCATTGGATTGGAGTTAATTTTTTTATTTTCTTGTTGTTTTCAAGTACAAATATTATATGAATATATTCCGTGTGAAAGTTGGAATTATCGGTTATATATATATTTTATTTGTTCTATTATTCTATTAATTTACTCATTCATGTTGGAGACTCCGTTTATCATCGTGCAAAGCAAAGATCTACCAAAATCGTAACTATTTTTTATGGGTTATAAATTTAAGGAAAAACTACATGAAATCCCATAAACTATAGCCCTCCGTTTGGATGAGGGAAAATAACTCGGAATTTAGCTAAAAGTCGGGAATTTAAGAGGAGAAATTGACAATTCCCTTGTTTGGCAACTTAAGCGTAGAATTTATTAAATGACGCGCGGAAAAAATCACGGAAGTTGAGGCATCAAATTCCCAAGTTTAATTTCCACCAAAATAGGCGTCATTTCACAATTTTCATAGTGCGGGAATTCATATTTTCCAGTGTGCCAAAACTTACATTAAAAAAAAACCGGTGAACTTTTCATTAATAAAAAAAAAATACACGTCTCTTTGGATCAAATTTGAAGGTTAGTCTTCAAGCCTTTCTCTCCTTCAATTTATGTTTTTCTATTTCAGGGTTACCACGGTTTCTAAATGGCTATCAAAATCGGCTGTTTTTCTCTGTTTGTTTAAGTTGAGTTATTTAGTTCATCAAACGATATGTTATTTTATACTTCGAGGAATACCTTCTATGTTAGTTATCAGTTTTTTTGTTCTTTCGAAATATTTAATTTATGTCATTTACAATTTAAATGAGCTATCCAAACATTGAAATTTTCAATTTCTGCCAATTACAAAATTCAACATACATAAATCCAAACACTGAAATCTTCAATTGCCAGAAATTGAAATGACGGGAATCTAAATTCCGTCATTTTAGAATTCTATGTAATTTGCAATTCCTTCATCCAAATGGAGCACAGGGTCATTTTCAAGTTCATACTAAACTTTAGAGGCATTTCCGAGTACATACTCAAATTCTCGGAAACCATACAATTTACCCCATCCGTTAGCCAAACCGTTGGTTAATTTGTTAAATGCTAATGTGGCATTTGTGGGACCTATTTTTTAATTGATATGGATTCCACATAAGAAATAAAATTAACAAAATAAATGAAACACAATAAAATAAAATAAAAAAATCTAAAAACCCAAAAAAACAATAAAGGAGGAGTGCATATTAATTATTTTGAAGTGCCAAACTAATCATCTTCTGGATAATTTCTTAGTAATTAATTCCAACCAATTACATATATAATGTTCCAATGTGTTATCCTTCTAAGTTTTTATTTTCCTTTTTTATTCATCCTTGTAACTTACTTGGTAACGGCTCTTTGAAACTTTAATTATGGCACGGTTGCATGCATGTGTGGTCAAAATCGTAACTCCATTTATCATCGTGCAAAGCAAAGATCTACCAAAATCGTAACTATTTTTTATGGGTTATAAATTTAAGGAAAAACTACATGAAATCCCATAAACTATATGGTCATTTTCAAGTTCATACCCAACTTTAGAAACAGTTCCGAGTACATGCTCAAATTCTCGGAAACCCTACAATTTACCTCATCCGTTAGCCAAACCGTTAGTTAATTTGTTAAATGCTAATGTAGCATTTGTGGGACCTATTTTTTAATTGACGTGGATTTCACATAAGAAATAAAATTAACAAAATAAATGAAAACCAATAAAATAAAATTAAAACCCAATAAAAAATCTAAAAACCCAAAAAAAACAATAAAGGAGGAGTGCATATTAATTATTTTGAAGTGCCAAACTAATCATCTTCTGGATAATTTCTGAGTAATTAATTCCATCCAATTACGTATATAATGTTCCAATGTGTTATCCTTCTAAGTTTTTATTTTCCTTTTTTATTCATCCTTGTAACTTACTTGGTAACGGCTCTTTGAAACTTTAATTATGGCACGGTTGCATGCATGTGTGGTCAAAATTGTAACTCCATTTATCATCGTGCAAAGCAAAGATCTACCAAAATCGTAACTATTTTTCATGGGTTATAAATTTAAAAACTCAACCAATTAAACACACAAGTCGGCATATAGTATGTACGCTAATTGAGGAGGAGCATGACTGAGGTGCAACCGTGCAAGGTTGTAGGGACTTTTATCTTCTCTTGTAAGCTTATTAGCAGAAGCATTCAACAACCGAGAAAAGCCTTGAGGTCGTGGGTTTGAACTCCCACGACATCTTAGTGGTATGTGTGTGAGAAATTCCTCGTTTGGTACAATAAAAAAAAAAAAAACAGAAGCATTTACCAACCAAAATATCAATTTCCTTTCCATTATCTTTACATCTTTATCTTTAAAGAAGTAAATGTATCCAAGTTTAGAAATGGAAGCGTAGGGGATGGGATGAAATCAAGGACAATCATCTGTAAATAAAACAACCTTTGCAACTAAAAAATAAAAGGGGAATGCTAGCAACCTTCTCTTTTAGACCACCTCATTTTTCCTCATGAAATATGTCACTCTCCTTACACTTAAAACAATGTCATTAATTACAATAAGGACAATGCTTGGCTCCTGATATATCAGGAGCCATGCCTCCTCCACAATGATGTGGCCTATTTAAAAAATGACACATGTTTTTTTTTTTTTTTTTTCCTCTTTTGTTTCATCGACTCTCCCTCTCTCTCTCTTCTCACCCACTCTCCTCACCTCCCCCAACTCTCTCTTCTCTCATCTCCCCGTCTCTTTACGGCTGCCATTTTTTGTTCTTTGTCTCTTACGGCCTGCAACTAGTGGTCAATTTCGCAGCAAAAACTAGTCGCCAAAATATGGTGGAAAAAGCAACTAATCCGATAAAAACTTTATATTTTCATCAACTCCCTCAGAAATCTAACTAAACTGTTCTTGTAAATCTGAAATAATATAATTTTTAGAATCAAAACCCAACTACCTTTCCTTGTTGAAGTCTTAAAAAAAAGGGGACCATGATGGGTTTTCAAAATTATCAACCTATCCAAACAAGAAAAACATGGCGGGGAATTTTCCGGGAAGGTGAGTTGTTGTGGGTTATCTTTTTAGTTGCGATTCCATTTCATTTTTTAGATCGGTGGGAAGTTTCTGTTGCATCAAAAAAATCTTAGAAAGAAAGGGAGAGAGAGAGAGAGAG